TGACCAAATTGAACTTAAGATTATCAGTATGATTTCAACCCAAAGAAAGGAAATAATTCTCCCTCTTCCCTTTATGGTGGGTACTTACTGACCTTTAATAGCCAGGTGACTACAGTTGGTGCTGTCAGCCTACAGTAAAACCCCAGGTCTTAATCATGGCAGCGAATGGGAGGTCCACCCAGATAAACCCACAGAAAAGCTACTTGTAGCTACAGGGACATAGCCTAGGGCCAATGCAAGATTAAGAATCAAACATTTCAAAAAACTCTACCCATCTTTCACCCCAACACTCTTGCTGTCAGGGATGACATGTAAAAACCACAGAAATAGAAACGCAGGCATTCTCACGAGAAGAGCTCACAGACGTACAGAAACTCTAGTATGAGCATCAAAAGAGGAGAGACTGTGAACAAGAGGCAAAGAAAGAGAGGTGTTGACAGGGTAAGTCAGGTGCAAAGACAGAAAGTCCCTGAGTCAGGAAGTCCGGGATCATGACGCTGTCCCCAATTCCTATGGGAGATGTGGCCCACATTCAGGCCTGAACCAGAACTCTGGGCTAGGGTCACAGTCAGCGCAAGGCCTCAGTGGCTGGGGCATAGCTCTGGGTTTACTTTAGGGAATTGGAGGAAAGCTAGGGAGAGACCTGAACAAAGTTCCTGGGGCAGGGAGGGCACATGGGAAGGCAGGCCAAGGCCACAGCTGTTATTGCCTTCAGCCAAGAACATTCCAGAGGAATGCTGGGATTTGATTGGAGTGTGTGTGTCTGGGATCGGGAGTGGGAATTTCCCTCTGTAGCTCCCCTTCTCTCCTGCCTGGTTCCTCTTAGCATTGGATGTAGGTCTCATCGGGACGTCTGAACCGCGGCTATCCTGCTGACCACCGTGCGGCCCCATGCCATTGGCACCAACTCATCCTGCTAACATCCCTTGCTCCCAGGCCTGCCCTGGCTCCTGGATGGTTTCAGCACCTGTACTCTATTTCCCCTCTTCTCCCAGTTGCTCCCATGGCAATTTCAGTTTCTTCAGTGGCAAATTCCTTGCTCTGAGTCTCCCAAGACCTCTTCTCTAATCACGCTCACCCCCGTGGGCGCATGCTCCCAACCCACTGTCCAGGAGCTGCCCTCCAGCCATGGCTTCCTTACTATGGCTCCTTCACTGCTGCTTGCCCTTCCTGCAACTTCCCCACTTCAATACCTGTTCTGCTCAGGTGAAAGCCTGGAGGTTGGAGGTGGAGATTCCTGGGATAAATCCAGCTCTGCCACCCTCTACCTGTCCAGTTATTGCACCCCTCTGAACCTTGTCTAGAATTCTTCCTTGTGAAGCTGTGAAGCCGGGTGAGAAGGCAAAGTTATAATGGGCGCAGCACCTAGTAGGCACCTGGGAGTCAGTGCTGGCCCTTTCTCATCTTCCCTTCCCCACTCTCTTGGTCTCCTAAGGGTGGCTGACCACTTTTGTTCTCTCCCCTGACCAGGTCCTCTCTATTACATCCTATTTACTGCTACAGACTGATCATTTACTGACATCCTGCTAAGTGCCAGGTGCTGTTCTAGGCACAGGGAAAACAATACCAACAAAGTCTGTGCTTCAGGGGGCTTGTGTTTTGGAGGAATCCAGCAATAGACAGGTTACTATAGGACATAAATAAAAGGTAACTCTCATATGTTGCAAGAGAATTTTGTTTTCTGATTAGCATAACATTGAAGGATGAAGAGTAAGTTTGGAGTTAGAAGGACCCAATTCAAGCCCAGTGCTGCCATTCCATGGCTATGTGAACAAAATCTCCAGAGCCTATTTCCTCACTACTAAAATGGGGCTGTTATTATATATATATTTCACATGTTAAGGATTAAATGAGATTATATATGAAAATCATTTAGCACAGCTCTTTTCCCAGATAACAAGTTATCAAATAAGTTTTATGGATAACAAAATTAGGAAGGCATTACTGTCCTTTGCTGACACTGTGTGTTCCTGGTTTCTATTTTTTCCAATAAGCCCGAAAACTTTTCGCTATTCCAGCCTACAATGATCTCTTCCTTTCCAGAAATGCTTATTGTATATTCAAGTTTTGTGATGAACTTTCTGTTGCTTGTTTGGTCTCCTATTTAGTCTCCATATCTTAGTCTTGCTTTACTAACCTGATTACCAACTCCTCAGGGCAAGGGATCATGCTCTCTGTATTGCTGAATCTATTTCCTGTATCCCACCCATCTACCACAGTAGCAGGAAACCATGAAGCTCTGTCAGTCAGCTCACTTGACTACCTGTAGGTAAAGCCTGACTGTCAGGTGGGAAGCAGTAAGAGGAACTGTGGGGCTGGAGGCTTTGGGAAAGGAGGGCAGAAACAGAGGGGAGACGCTGATGTTCATCAGTGCTACATCTCAGGTGCCCTGTTAAGCCAGGGCTCCTGTAGAGCTGCCGTTACCTCTGTCTTTCCCATTCTGCATCTTCTCTTCCTCTTCCTCTGCACCTTCCTCTGCTGTGAAAACAAGTCCAAGGAGGCCAGTGACCCTTCCGCACAGCACAAGCATGGAAGGCAGGTGAGCAGAGTAACTTAGGAGTCTTGGGAAGAACTCTGGCTAAAGGCTCACAGTGTAGACCTCCAAGTCTGATGTCACCCACCCTGCTGCTGGCTTCTTTGGTGACCAGGGTGGGAGATGGGGAGTGCCTGTTTTTCCTAAGGTGATAACATCTGCCAGAGATGCAACTAATATCTCGCATTCGGGTTCAGGTTTAAGAAAGCGACAATGTAAGTGCATAGTGGAGGAACACCTAGGTTAACATGGGCTTCTATAAAACAAAATCAATGAACAACTAGAAGTTTTAGCTAACAGCAAACTTAAAATGACTTCACAGTGTAAACTGACCCTGTGGAACAAAGCTAATGCCACCTAATGTTGCTCTCCCAGGGGCCCCCTGTAGAACAGTCACAGATCCCCTATGCTTTGTAGGGACAGTCCCCCTATGATATGGAGCAGTGTGCTCAGCCCTGGGTGTTCACTTGAATTGGGGCTTTGGAAAACTGAACCACAGGACAGTAAAGTGAAGATCATGTTATATTCAGGTAGGTGAGGGAAGGGGTAGAGTTGTTTAGAGAAGAGAAAGCAAGGAAGAAGCCACGTTATCTGCCACCAGACACGTGGGAGGTGACCTGCAAAGGAGGGACTGAACTGATTCTGGGTACCATTAGAGAGGGAACAAGCGCAAATCAGCTATAGAAAGGCATATTCTGGTTCCCCAATAAGAACTCTCCAGTGACTAGAGTTGGTCATGAAAAAGTTCACTGGGAACCTGCAAATAGAGGACTTTTATATTGGGCAGAAGTTGGATTAAATATCCTCTCAGACCCCTTTGAATTCTAGCATTCCACTATTTATGAAACTATTCTTAAAAGATGAGGAGGACAAGCTATGGATATCTGTTCTACATGTGCACTGTATACAATATGTGAAAAAGATAATCTGAATATCTACTCTGATCCTAATAAACCCCTGTGAAATCAAGATCAAGGAGAGGTTAAAAATGTGATGGTGCTGGGCAAGCCTCTTCATTCATTGAGAAACTGTCACCTTTGCATGTAAAGGGAGTTTACTTCTGCATTTTTAAGGGACACACTGTGCCACATGAATTTAGTCCATATCTACAGGCTTAAGTGCTGGGGAGAAAAATGGGTACTGGGGGAACCCTGAGTTTGATGCCTGCCTTTTGGTGGGGCAAGAACACTGGCTTCATATTCTACAGACCTGAGTTCTTGGACCAGCTTTGTCCCTTCAAGCTCCATGACTTTAGGCAAATCACTTCTCTTTTTCTTTTTTGCAGTAATAGGGATTGAAACCAAGAGTGCTCTAGCACTGAGCTATATCCCCAGCCTTTTTTATTTTATTCTGACACAGGGTCTCCTTGGGTTTCCCAGGCTGACCTGGAACTAGTGATCCTCCTGCCTGGCGAGTCACTGGGATTATAGGCTTGTGCCACCGTGCCTGGCAGCAAATCACTCTTTTGATAATCACTCACCACATTTCTAAAATTAGGGTACTGAACTATATGATCTCTGAGGTACCTTCCAAATGACACTGCATAATCATGTTGTAATCATCCTTTGCTATTATAAGAGATGAATAACTATCCCTGTAAACACCTCATCTCTGTGACACTATTTGGTCTCTGGGTGCTTTATGTTTACTGATGTCCAATTACCCTCAGTTAATCGCACTCTCATCCTCGTGGATGAGCGCAAGAGCAACTTATTTTGCATAAATCTTAACAAGAAGCCCAAAGGAACAAGTATAGTTCATCTTCATGGCTGAAATTCCCTCTGTAAGTGGGATTTCTGGCCACTGTAGGAACTATATTCAGGAAGGGATCTTCTAATCAGCTGTGAAGTCATCTCTGAAGGCCACCACCTCCCCTGCTTATGCGTGTGTGTGTGTGCAGGGGGTTTTGTTTCACTAGGCATGAGAAACAGGACTAGATGGGGACAGGGGCACCATAAAGTTCCCTTGCCAAGGCCTGGGAAACACCCTGGGCTTGCCTCCCCTACAGGGTCTGAATAGTCCATGGAGGAACTCCTTCCTATTTTTATTTAATAACACTGCTAAATTACTGCTAGGTACTTACAAGCACTATGTTAGATGAAAAGGGACAGAGGAAGGCCCTCGTCATGAGGGACCCCCAGCCCTCAGGAAGGGAGCCCACTTGCTTAACATGACACATAGGGATCCCACCGCTGGAAAATTCACAAGTGTCGGGCGGCTATGTCACTGATGGAGTCGAGGGGACACTTGGAGGTATGATGACATGTGAGAAGCCTTTTATTTTCTCTTTCTTTCCTGGGTTTTATGTAAGGGGGAAAGCCATGAGGCAGAGGTCTCTGGAAAGTCACCTCAGTGGCCGGGTGATGGAGAGACGGAGAAAGAAGTCAGAAAAGACCAAACATGAGGAGCAGAGGAAGCAGCAGGTCTCGAACTTCAGGTGAAATCACAGCCTGGTCACGGACGAAAGGAGAGGAAAGGGTTTCAAAATCAAGTAAGAGAGCAGAAAGGCAGCTGGAGGGCCCAGCGCTAGTGGCTGCCTTGGCTGCCGACATCAGGACAGGTTCAGGAGGAGCTGGCGACAGGGCCTAGGGAAAGAGCTGCTGTGGACAAAGGTGCACGTAGGAGAGCAGTGGGGTGGGGTGGGGTGGGGGGCTGGCTGCACTAAGAGCTGAATTTCTTTAAATTGAGAACTACCCTTGCTTCACCAGGTATCTTAGGATAAACCTAAACGTGTGACTGTCCCGCTGTGACCACGTGTGGGAGGGAGGTGCACTGGGTGAAGATTCTGCACGGTCCTAGAAGGCAAAACCAAGTGGTGAAACCAGGGGGGTGCGAGTGGTGACCTTCTGTGGCGAGGCAGTGTGGGGGGCAGAGGGTAGGAGTGGTGGGAGCTCTGGGTTTCACCTGAATGGAGCTCCTTCACCAGGGATGACATGGTGTTGGTGATGGAGTCAGCAGCCACCAGCAGGTCATTGCGGAGGTTTCTCCTCGAACCTGAGGAGAGTCAGAGCAGATGGCAATGCCAGGGTGGTGGGCATGGAGAAGAGGGAGCCAAGCAGATGCCTGAGTCTGCAGGCCCTAGGACACAGGTGCAGAATAGCTAAGGGGAGATGGGGCCACAGCCGCTCCACTTCCTCCCAGGTGCGTCGGGAGTCCGCTGTTCCCACTCTCTGTCCTCTCTACCTGGAAGTCAGGATCTGGTCAAGTCCATGCTTTAGACACCATACAGTGAGAAAAGTCAGGTTCCCATCGAGGTGCTCAGCCTCAGAGGCGGCTCTACTCCACAACACCCCCCTCCCAACGCCTAGCCCCAGCTCTCTCAAGACTTCCTTCCCAACCACTTGAAACTGTGGGTCCCTGGATCCTCAGATGGTTGTGGCAATTCCATGCTCACTGTGCCGTTAACCAGGTTCCCTTTAGAGAACCACACTTCCCATGTTTGCTAGTCCTAAGGACCTTCTGGGACAACTGTATGACTGGATTATTCCATCTAATTCCTCTGAAGAAGGCACAGCCCGGAGAGCGAAGTACCTTCTCAACCCAGAACAAGAACACAGAACCCAAGGGGCCTGTTCTGCACACACCTGAAGGCAGACAGGGCTCCCGCAGAAGACTGGCTCAACTCCTAAGAAGGGGCCAGTATGCACCTGATTTATTTATACTGTCAATCTGATATCTACAGCTAAGACAGCAAGAGCACAAAAGGAAAGTAACTGGAAAATTTCAGCAGGAATCTTATACATGCTCCCAACCCCTTCAGCTCCCCATTACACTTGGGCCTGGAAACTCACCTTGGGCGAAGGCCTCCTGCACGTCTCCCCCAACCCCGCTCAGAGAGTCCTGTGGGCCATGGGTGGGGGTGGACCCGGCAGATGCAGAACGGACAGGCATGGGCATGGGACGGCTGCCTGCGTGAGTGGGCGATGTATGTGGCGATCCTGTGGCCTGAGCCTGGGAGATCAGAGATAAAATATGTCATCTCAAGGGTCCAACTTCTTTGAGGAAGGGGGAAGCACTCAGTCTGAGCCAGCCAACAGTCTGCTGGGGCATGATCCTATTTGAATGGATGGAGTCACACTGCCTCCATGACGAGGGAGACGAGGGAAAGGAAAGGGAACAGGGAAGAAAGGGAGATTGCAGTAAGAACGGACTGAGAATGTTGGGGGAAAGGCCAGCAGGGAGAGACAGGAGCCTTCGGGTGGACAGGCTGGGCAGGGCGGCGGCGTCAAGGATCTGGGAGGGGTTGAAAACACCAGAAGAAACAACACACAGATATCCTCCTGTTTGCAAACACATCCACATACTCGTTCTCGCCGGATTCTCCAACAACTCATGGGTAGAATGACATCTGTTTATATCAACTTTAAGATGCAAAGAGTGTGAGGCTGCACGGCTGGGCAGAGGCAGAAGTCAGAATAAGCTCCTGGACTCCAGGGGCCCCAACCCCGCACCCCAGGTCTGAAAGAATGGACACATAATGGAGAGAACAGATGCATGTTAAGCAGGAGGGCTTTATGTGTCATAGTTTTAGAGGGAGCTTGGAGCAATGGGGTAAAACAAATGAAAAGAGCAAAGGACGCGTTCAAAGCAGCTCAGTGAGCCTGGGCCCTTGGGAGCCAGGAGACTGGGTGTGGCAGGTCGACTGTAGAAGCAGGACTGGGAAAATACAAGCTGAATGTGAGAATGAGTTCAAATAGAGACCACTGTCCTGAGGGTCCAGCTCAGAAGCCCCATATCACCACAGATCACTGAGGCTGGCCGACTGCCCCAGGACGGCACCTCCCAGCACAGCAGAGAGTGGGCACCGAACGGAAGCCATGGCTTATTCTCTACCGTTCTTAATTTGAATCATTTGTGTGTGTGTGTGTGTGTGTGTTTATTTTGAGAAATACAAATGAATAATTGTTAATGTTGTGTCAAATTTGTTTCAACCTAAAAATAGTTCAGATAAATCTCAAGACTCCTTTTACTATCATTTTTTTTCCAAGCCTAGTTCCTTCCTTTTATCCCTACAGAGGTGACTATTTTTCCCCCCCGAGGTGACTATTACCAGAAATTCTGCTGTGAAACTTTTAGCTATGTGCACACATGTAACTATGAAGAATACACAATATCTTCATGATTTAAAATTTTTATGAACGATATTGTACTGAAAATATCACTTTGAAAGTTGCTTTTATCACTTAATTTACTCTGAGATCTACCCATGATATAAATAAATGAATTTAGACCCTACCTCAGGCCAGATAAAAAAAATAAAACAGAACACAGTATCTGTAAGAGTGAAAAGTACAAAATTTCTCAAACACAATATAAGAAAAACCTTATGACCTAGGGTTAAGGCAAAGATTTCTTAGATATGATACCAAAACCATGATATGTAAAAGAATAAATAGATAGGAGCTGGGCAGGCAGCAAGTGGTAGAGCACTTGCCAAGCATGCAAGAAGTGCTGGGTTCAATCCCTAGCACTGGGTGGTGGGTCCGGGGGAGGTGTTTATCAAGAATCTAAAACTATTTTCTTTTTTGGTGGAGCTGAGGATTAAAACCAGGGCCTCATGCATGCTAGGCAAGCGTTATAATCACTGCACTTCATCCTCAGCTCAAAAATCTATTTTTTTTTTTTTGCCAAAATAGCAGGAAGAGAGGATTTTGAATGTTATCTTTACAAAGAAATGAAAAATGTTTTTGATGATGGATATCCTGAGTTGATCAACACACAATGTATAAATGTACCCAAATATCACACTGTGCCTCATAAAAATGTTACAATTATGATCTTTTAATAATTAAAAAACTATTTTATTCTTTAAAAAATATCATTAAGTACCATATGGACAAGTCAACTCAAAATAGATCAACAACCTATATGTGAGATGCAAGAGCTAAAACTAAAACTTAGAAGATAACGTGGGTGAAAACTTTATGACGTGGATTAGGCAATGACTTTTTATATATGACAGTAAAAGCACAGCCACAAAACAAAACAAAACAAAAAAAATTATCAACACTGAACATCATAACATTACTTTTGTGCTTCAAAGGATCATCAAGAAAATGAAAGGACAATTCACAAAAAGAGAAGAAAAGTTTTGCAAATTATATATCTGATAATGGACTTCTATCTATCACATATAAAGAACACTTACAACTAAATAATAGAGACAAATAGTATAATTTAAAAATGGTCAAAGCAGGGACTGGGGATATAGCTCAGTTGGTAGAGTGCTTGCCTCACATGCACAAGGCCATGGGTTCAATCCCCAGCACCAAAAAATAAAATAAAATAAAATAAAAATGGTCAAAGCATCTAAACTGGTATCTCCATAGAAGATACATAAATGTCCAATAGGCATGCAAAAAGATGCTCAACATTATTAGACATTAGGGAAATGTCTGATAATTATAATAATTATAGCCACCTACTAAGATGACTATATTAAAATGACAGATAATAACAAGTATTGGCAAAGATATGGAGAAATTGGACTCCTCATACAATGACAGTAGAAATGTAAAACTGTGCAGTTCCTCAAGAGATTAATCACTGAATACCACCTGACCCAGTAAGTCTACTCCCAGGTATATACCCAAGATAAATGAAAACATGTTTGCATAAAAATCTGCGTCCAAAGGTTCACACCAGCATTATTCAGGGTAGTCAAAAAAAGTAGAAACAACTCAAATGTTCATCACCTGATGAATGATTTCAATAAAATGTGCTACATCCATACAATGGAACATTATTTAATAATAAAAATGACTGAAGTACTGATACATGCTGCAACATGGATGAACCTTGAAAGCATTTTGCTAAGTGGAAGAAGCCAGTCACAAAAGGCTATATATGGTGTGATTCTATTTATATGCAATAGGTAATCCATAGGGATAGAAAGCAGATTAGTGGTCATCTAGGCTGGGGTTGGGGATTTGGAAAGGATGAGGAATGATTGCTAATGGGCATGAGGTTTCTCTTTGGGATTGATGGCGTGTGTTGATAATGATAGTGGCTGCATAGCTCTGTGAATGTATTATAAAATGCTGAATTTTATACTTTAAAACAGTGAATCAGGGCTGGGGTTGTGGCTCAGTGGTAGAGCCCTCACCTAGCATGGGCGAGGCCCTGGGTTTGATCCTTAGCACCACATAAAAATAAATAAATTAAAATAAAGGTACTGTGTCCAACTATAACTAAAAAATAAATATTAAAAAAACCTAGTGAATTTTATGGAATGTGAATTATATTTCAATGAAATAATGAAAAAAGGACACCATTAAGAAAAATAAAAAGACACGGATTGTGGAAATATTTGTAAATTATGTCAAAAAACAAAACAAAACCCTTGTATCCAGAACATATAAAGAACTCCTACAACTCACTAAGAAGACAAACTACCCATGTTACAAAAGAGGCAAAAATTCAAAAGGATATTTCACCAAAGAAGATGTGCAAACAGGCTGATGATCACATGAGAAATGTGCAGCCAAGAGAAATCATGAGGGAAATAGAAACTTAAGTCACAATGCAACACCACTTAATGCCCACCAAAATAGCTACAACCCAAAAGAGTGACAGGGAGGCTGACACCCTGGACCCTGTCAATGAGACTGTAAAGGGTGTGTCTACTGTGGAAAACTTCTCAGCAGTTTCCTAACCCAGCAAATTCTGCTCCTGAGTATTGCCCAAGAGAAATGAGAATGGGTCCACTGAAAATAGAACCAAATATTTATTTGCAACAATTTAATAGCCAAAAAGGAGAAACAACTCCAATGTCCATTAACTCATGAATGGATTAACAATGCCATGTATCTATACTATGGGATATTATGGAATCTCTTTTTTTGCTATGTCAAGTATTTTACTATTAACTTTTATAATCACTTTCCACTGACAATTATTCTCTTCTATTTTTATCAGTGGTTCTAAAACATTTTTACGACTTTTTCAGGTTATGTTATCTTTTCTTAAAAAGTGGTTTACAAATCCTGTTTAGCCAGTTAATATTATCATATACTAATCACTGCACTTTTGGTACTTCCTCTACCTTTTATCCTATGATCACCATCACCCCCTATTTTGGGGCTATTTTTATAGGAGATGTGGTAAATAATAATGAACAAAATTCATGACTCTAAGATTTAAAGGTGCTGCCCTCTGGGCATAAGACAGAGCTGGGAAGTGCACACAGCCAGACCTGGCAGGTTCAGCCCCAGTCCACACTGAGTGAGGGAGAGCGGGAAGAGCATCTATACAGAAGGCAACCAAGTCTGATGTAGACAGTCTGGCAGTTGGGGATGGGAGACAATGGGTGGACACTGGCAGAGCTCCACTCCAGGGTCCCAGGCTCCCTAGCTCTGGTGGTTTTCCCACAGGCTAACAAAAAGTTGGTGGTAACTGTGTAGATGGTGAGCCTAGTGGTCTCTTACCTCAGAGAGGGATTAGACCCTTGAAGTGGCCACTTGTGGACTGTGGGAGCCGGGGAGCCTGGGAGTTCAGATGTATTGTCACAGAGCTCTTAGTACTGCCTGAGAGAAGTAGACCTCCCTGCAACCAAGGACATGACCCAACCACCCATGGTCCAGGTCTTAGCATCCATCAAGTTGAAAACACTGACATCTCTCCGCTGAGGTCACAGCACCACAGTTTAAGTCCCTGAGGCTCAGCATCACTCTTAGGTGCAGGGGTGGGGGATGAGAATCTCTGAGTGACTGGCTTCATGAAGAACTAGCCTGGAAATACCTGGATTAAGTGTCCAGTTCAGACAGAACGAGAACTTGAGATGGAAATTAGACCCAGTTAAAGAAAAAATTGGTCTGTGAAATTCAAACTCACTTTGCTATATGACAGTTATATGTTGTCCCCTCAGAGGGCTAACCCAGCATGAAGCATGTGGTAAGTCCTTACAAATTTCCCACGTTTTGGGCCAGACGTTGGACCTGAGGCCCCAGTGT